ACACACACACACACACACACACACACACACACACACACACACACACACACACACACACACACACATGTACATGTATAAATATGTATATAAAAGTACATATGTATACAAAAATTAATGCACTCTTTACTTGTATTATACATACACTCTTCATTTGTATTATATGTATCTGTCCTTCTTTCAGACTTTTCTTGTCGATTATTTTTTTTGCATTTTCTTTTAGCTGTTGTTTCTTCAATAATCTCTTTTTTGCTCTTTGTTTTTGATGATGACTTAGTTTTGTTTCTTTAACTATAATATTATTAAGTTTATACTGTTTTATTACATATGTACACACACACAAAATATATATTATTTAACTTTGTATAAATAGTTAGAGCCTTTGCATAAACTCTTTCGTAATGTTTTACATTAAGTACTAGAAACTTTGATACATAACTTTAAACTTTATTCAATGTACAAACAAGATTAACGTATCATGTTTATGCTACGTTAAGTTACTTTTTTTTAAGTTTACAGTCAGTACTTAACGTAACGTAATGCGAAAGAGTTTGTGCAATGGCCCTTATGTCTCTGTTGCTATCTATTTTTCAATACTTAGGATTCCTTTTGGGAAGGTGGGCTCACTCTGCTTTTTAGCCTTTTTTCTACATCCACTAGAAACATTTTCATCAAATTTTCCTTTACGACCCATTTAACCTAACCTATAACATATTCGGTTGTTCCATTTGTGTACTTTTTTCAATTTTACTACTAGATAGTTAATTACAAATTGGTCTTTTAAACTTTTTAAAACTAAATTGACCTCTTTTAGGTTATCTTATAATCTCAATCAATTTAGAAATATCAAGAAAATATTGATTTACAACTTACTGTATAAAAAAATTCCAAATTCAGAATCCTAATCCTATACGTCTCTATACGCCATGTGCTAGTGCTAGGGATGGGCGATATTTTACGATTAATCGAAATGAACGATAGTTTTCTTTTTAATAATCGATTAATTGGTTCGATGTTTTCCTTATCATTACATCGATGCATCGATTTTTTATGTCAGATATCGGTGTTTATTTAATTATTTCCGTCGCAAATAACCCGTCGCAAATTGTAAATATCTTATCAAAAATAATCAGAAATAAGGCTGAATTCTCATGCAGACACTGGCGCTTTGACACTGAGCGTTGGGTGTGTTTAGCCGAAGCTAGCGCTACGTAGCGCTACGTAGCGGCTTCATGTAGCAGTTGCAACTGCTGCGTTACTTCTGCTGGACAGTATGGCTACGCGTAGCATGTTCTAAGCAGAGAGAAGCCTGAGAGCGGCCATGCCATTGTAGTTTCTTACGACGGTTTCAACCGCTGGTTTTAGCCGTATTTCCACAAAAGTGGAACTCAAAGGCCGTTCTCCATGAAACTCAAGTAGCAGGTCTCGTGGAACTGATCAATCACGTTGGTGGATTGGCTGATTTGACTCTGCAATTGGTCAATTCCACGAGATCTGATACTTGCGTTTAATGTAGAACGGCCTTTGAGTTCCACTTTTGTGGAAATACGGCTAAAACCAGCGGCTGAAAC